GCACGGTTTCTAGCTCCTCTGTCACCCAAAGGGAATGGTCACTGCCTCCGCAAAAAAGGTTTTTAGGCATTCCAGGTAGCTAGCTGCCTTTGCTGAATTCCGCAACGAATCGCAACCTTGGTAGTAGTGGAATGACTACCGGAATTGGCCTGCTCCACCCCGGGGGGATTACATTGCACCCTTTCCGTAAACGTTTTTTGGGGACTGTTGTACGTGCTTGTCGTAAGTTTGCACTCATTTTTCAACGTGACAATGTGCCCCCTGTTCAGTCAGTGTAGCGGCTGTGACTGTATTAGGTACTGACCAAAAAAATCAGCATCCTGGGTGTCTGTGCGGCACATCGGTCCTCAGCGCAAGGCGTTAAAACATCTAGCCCCCAGTGTTCTTGCTTTGATCTTGTGCTTCTTGTCACTATGATGTGACAGCCGAGCCTTGGTAAATGCCTTGGAAATTTTATCCACGTACTAAGTATGTAGTATACTGCTGGTGCCTGATTGCCTCCACCACAAGTATGGTTTTCCTCAAAGGATCCACTAATAATATGGACTTCTCAACCCAACCTTGCTGAATCCGCACGTACAGTACGGTGCGCTATCTCATGAAATATTGAGTGAAATTCGGAAATGTGTTTTCGTGCAGCATAATGCAAGGATATCTCAGTCATGGCAGGATGCCGGCTTTTGAACAAGCCCCCTTCCGGATGCCTGCTTGCCCTAATTATCTTAGACATCAAATGACTACTTGTGTAGTAGTGTGAATTTATCTCACCTGATTTTCGATGTCCCTATAAATTTAAGCGTGCTTTGTAGAAAAGCGTGCAATAAAATCTTCCGTTTTGTACTCCACTTGGTAGCAAAATAAGCCATAAAATTCTACTTATGAACGCTTTTTTGAAGGTGACACGTCCATCCATGAGCATCGTGTCTACGCATTTATGATTGCAGCTAACCAACCTGTTCAACATCAATCGCGTAATTTTGTGAGCACTTTAAGATGTCCTGTTAGACGGAATGTGTACATCATGCAGTCGGCAAATCCTGATTACAAACGTCAGGTCGAAAGTTATTTGTAGATTGATAAACGTTTTTTTAAGTATCCGGAAGGTAAATTTTCGCCAGATGTAACATTTTTAGAAGACGCAATTTTCTACTAAATAAGTACAAGAAGGAAAATATTTGTGAATGTTTTCTCTAAAACATAATTGAGTTAATGAGGGAATCGAAAATCAGTAGGAGCAGATCATACTACTTAGTTTAGTATTTGCAGGTGGCCAAAATGCAGCTCGTTCAGAAGCCGGCATCCTGATATGATTGACATATCTTGGGATAAACTGCGCGGTAATTAGTATTGCAACCCTAGTTAAGTAAACCTTTCCGACCGTAAACACATTCCAGAATTGATGTAAGTATCCTAAATTTGGAGAACGCACAGTGCTAATGTGGCCATTGGAGATCAGGTTGCTCGATGAAATAGGAAAGTGGTTACTTTACCGTGGTTCCTCGGACATGTTCATGGACCGACCCGCGGCAGATGAATCCATTTTCTTGTCCGAATTCCAAGAGCTTAATGATCACCATTTTTGCCTGGACTTAACCCTTTCATATGTCTCCTCAAGCAGTTCACTTAAGCATTCCTGTAGAGTATTTGAACCGGGCTGGGAGCGAATCCCACGTTAATGGACAGAATGGTCTTGGAAAAATATAAAACATTCACTGATTAGGTTTCCGATTAACTTAAGGGATTAAGGAGCCAAATTATCTGTCGTTACTTCTTCGGAAAGGACATTCAGTA